GGCGATGGTGGATGGATGGCGGCTCTGACTGTCTGTCTGTCTGTCTGTCTGTCTGTCTGTCTGTCTGTCTGTCTGTCTGTCTGTCTCTCTCTCTCACTTGTTTGTAGACGGGGCCGGGGCTTGAAGTGTTCTCGATCGTAAGTCGGACGCCTGTCACCCCTCCTTTTTTTTCTGTCCTTCCAAGCGCGGTTATGGCGGCTTGCTGAGCTCGGCGCTTACTAAGAACTTGAGAAGAAGAAGAAGATATTAGGAAGAAGAAGAAGAAGATAAGCGTAGCGGGAACCACATTCACGTTGCCCGAACGAGCAGTGTGGTCGCACGGTGGCCTTTCTCTCTCTCTCTCTCACACACACATACACACGCACACACAAACGATGATGGAGAGAGAAGACAGAAGAAGAAGAAGAAGAAGAAGAAGGCACACCTACCTCGTCGATGGCGGCACTGGTCGGGCAGCGGGCGGGCACAGCGGGGTGTCAGGGCATCGGGTGGGCGTACACCATGCTCGTGCAATTTCGCGTGGGCATTCAAAATTGAATGCCCGCCCACATGAAATCGTGCGGGCAGAGTGCACTACAGGGCGCGATATCTGGCCGTCGAGGGCGCGATATCTGGCCGTCGATCTTCGAGATCAACGGCCAGATATCGCGCTGCTTGTATGTCTTGAGCCGGGAGCCGCCGCCAAATTATTTTCCACGGCCTGCAGGGTCCCCGTGGCCTCTAGCAACACCCAGGCCCGGAAAAACGTCATTTCGGAATTTTTTGGGTTCTGCGCAAAGGTAGACCGGGACCCTGACCGCGGGGCTTGACCGACCAGGCGCCCGGTCGCCAACCCAGGTGGGAGTTTGGAACCTGTGCGCCGGGGATTTCACCCCAGGTTCCAGCAGATTTTCATAACCTTTTTCTAAGTTTTCCAACTTTTTGCGTTTGCTATTACTGGCCTATAACCCTTTTGCATTTGCTGTTCGTGGCCTGAAACCTTTGCTTGATTTTCAACATTACCTATTCTTCATTTACCCTTTGCTAAAGATTTTGATTCCCGTCTTGCCACCTTCCACACTCCACTCCCAATTAATAGGAAACAAATGGAAAAGCTAGGATAATATTAAACCTCCAGTACACGGCCCCAACCTTGTGGAGAAATCTTTCATCGCCTACGAAAATTTCGGAGGCTCCGGGAGACCGGACAACATTGGCTGGCGGCGCCCAGCCAAACAAGAAAAAAGGTGGCCGCTGGCTGTTCATCAAATCTTGGCGCAAGTGGAAGGCCACCAGCCCCAGGTGTACTGCTACTTTAAACCACCAGTTTACACGAGCGTAAGTTTTTTTTTTTTTTTTTTTTTTTTTTTTTTTTTAAGACATGAGCCTAAGTTGACAAAGCTGCCGTCCAATGCGCACGAGCCTGCAACTGCGCCTTTTGCTACTGGCCCAGGCCCGAAGCGAAGTGCTCTTACGGTGTATACCAGTAAACAGCACTTCTTAGGTTTGTGTGAACTGGTGGCTTGAAGGCAGGACAGGAAAAGCAAATTCATTTCTTACGCAGGGGTGATGCGACATTTAAGGAGCTTGGACCTCAGTTCTCTGGGCTCCATTTTCCTTTTCTCTGTTTTTTTTTTCCCCCTCAAACAATTTTTGCCATACTTGTGCAGGGTCAATGTGAATATTATCACGCATCTCACTCGAGGTTGAATAGATGTTTCAAACGAAGGACAAATGCTCCTCTCCTTTCTGTTGTTGACTCTGTCTTTTGATTGGTGATTGAAACATCCATGTTGAAGGTCACAGGACACGACTACGGGGGATATGAAGACGGCTCTGGGATTAAACAGCCAGTAAATGGCCCAGACTAGTGCCGTACCCTCGTTCAACGTTCATGGGGTTGGTGAACGAGGGCCGGTCACCGGTCACGAAAATCGCGACCGGTGGTAGTTCAAGGAGTTCACGGAGAGCGGGATCGTTGTTGTTTTTTTTTTTTTTTTTTTTTTTTTTTTTTCCTGCACGGGGTGACGGGGAGCCATGTTTGACAGACGAGTTCAAACACAGGCACACACCTGGCGGAACAGAGAAGAAAGACCTCGCCGCGCTACTCACCAAGAGCCCGGAATGGAGCATGCATCTTCCCCAAAATGGGGAAATAAACATCCACATCAGCTTTTGTTGTTTCACATCTGGTGAGTGGTGCGGCTAAGCCCTAATGGGCCAGAAATTCGAGAGCGAGGCCCCACTGGCAAAGAGGATTCAGTTTAATGCCTGGGCGTGCCTCTGTGTGTGTGTGTGTGTGTGTGTGTGTGTGTGTGTGTGTGTGTGTGGGTGTGGGTGTGTGTTTCTTAATGTCAATCTGGATTTCTGCATTTCTCCTTGACAACCATCCAGACTCAGGCTCCTGTCCACTTTGCTCGTGCGATTCCAGTCCGCCTGGGGCGAGGTCCCACTAGCAACGGGATAGGATAGAAAGGCGTTTGTGGGGCAGTTGAGTGACCCAAATCCTGGCGTGCAGTACTCGTGATCCCACGGTCAGTATTTTACATGTATTTCCCAAAAAAGTAAGGAGATCTTTGTTCCCCTCCTCCTCTCCTTAACACTGGGCATGCTCGTGCAAAGAAAGCTTCCCGCCAGAATCTTTTCAATCGGTTGGGGGTGTGGCCAACCCCAAAAGAGGGTGGGGTCGGCCATAGGCCCACTGGATAGAAGATTTTCAGTCTTTTGCTTGCTTGCTCTTGTGCAATTATCTCATTGGGTGGAGCCCTCCTTCCATCATGGAGTATATATATATGGAGGGCGTCAGGATCACTGCTGACAGAAGTCTATTTTATTCCAGAAAAAAAATGTGGCAGTTACTTTGCTCACTGTTGATGCAACCACCACCATCAGATCATTCGTGATCTGATGGCTGGGAAGCACTCTGCCATGACTTCCGGTGGGAGGTATCTGTTTCTTTCTTTTTCTTTTCTCCTGTTTTCTCAGCCCAGAAAATTTAATTTGTAATGAACCTGTGAGCCCGCTGCCGCTCAGTGTCACACTGGATCGGCCACACTCCTATCCGACTGCTAATGGGACCTCGCTCCTGAAGTCTGAATTTCCGACGGGCCTCAGTCGGTGCACCCGTGAACTGTTGAAATACAGACACAAGGGGAAAAAAAAAAAAAAAAAAAAAAAAAAAAAAAAAAAAAAAAAAAAAAAAAA